CTGACACTATTCAATCTATAACAGTGAAAAAAGTGTTTTTTTTTTTTAAATCCAAGCTTTGTGTCACCAGATCTAAGTGGTGGCACTGGTCACCGTATCCACTGTTAGCGTAACAGGACACTGACTGCTATTCAATCTATAACAGTGAAAAAAGTGTTTTTTTTTTTAAATCCAAGCTATTGTGACACCAGATCTAATTGGTGGCACTGGTCAGCTACGTATCCACTGGCGTAACACACCGCTTTAAGGACACTGACTGTTATTCAATCTATAACAGTAAAAAAAGTTTTGTTTTTAAATCCAAGCTATTGTGACACAGGATCTAATTAGTGGCACTTGTAAAACGTCAGCTATCCACTGTTAGCGTAACACCGCTTTAAGGACACTGACTGCTATTCAATCTATAACAGTGAAAAAAGTTTTTTGTTTTTTTAAATCCAAGCTATTGTGACACCAGATCTAATTAGTGGCACTTGTCAAGCGTATCCACTGTTAGTAGCTTACACCGCTTTAAGGACACTGACTGCTATTCAATCTACCTTAGTAAAAAGGTTTTTTGTTTTTAAATCCAAGCCATTGTGACACCAGATGTAATTGGTGGCACTGACTGGGGAAATGGGCACAGTATGCACTGTGAGCCTGACACAGAAGCTGGCAGCAGTGGCAGACAACTGACTGCTATTCAATCTATAACAGTGAAAAAAGTTTTTTGTTTTTAAATCCAAGCTATTGTGACACCAGATGTAATTGGTGGCACTGACTGGGGAAATGGGCACAGTATGCACTGTGAGCCTGACACAGAAGCTGGCAGCAGTGGCAGACAACTGACTGCTATTCAATCTATAACAGTGAAAAAAGTTTTTTGTTTTTAAATCCAAGCTATTGTGACACCAGATGTAATTGGTGGCACTGACTGGGGAAATGGGCACTGTGAGCCTGACACAGAAGCTGGCAGCAGTGGCAGACAACTAAGTGCATTTACATTACATAGAAAAAAAAAATTAAAAAAAGCATACCCTTATCCCTAACCTAGCTATGCTTTTCCCTATCTTATGAACAGCAGCTACACTTTCCCTCCTCTTACTAAGCATGCAGCTTGAGAATGAATCTAAAATGGATGCTGTCCAGTAGGTGGGAGGGTCTGCTAGGGAGGCTGTGCTGCTAATTGGCTGGAATGTGTCTGCTGACTGTGAGGTACAGGGTCAAAGTTTACTCAATGATGACGAATAGGGGGCGGGTCGAACCGCGCATATGTTCGCCCGCCGTGAACACCCCTTTCCCCACAAGGTATCCCCACAAATTATCCCCGATCTGGGGGACAAACATATCCAAATTTCACCCAGATCGGTTCAGGGGTTCTGAAAAAGTGTGGAGGTTCCCTTTTACCGACCACACACGCAGCTCCTGCCCAAAACAGTTCCTTGAATTCAGCGTGTGCGACATTTAAAACGAGCAGCAGCTACATTTAAAGCATCATGAACCTAAGTCCAAGCGTCACGTATGAGATTCAAATGAGAATCCAAAGAAGGAATGGCAGTATCGGAAAATGCAGTAGGCAAGACAGTAGGATGCCGACCATTAGTAGCAAAGAATGGACTTAGACCTGAGGAATCATGAGTGGTATTGTTCCTAGCAAACTCAGACCAGTTCTCTGGCATGCTATTAATGAAACAACGTAAGTCTGTGGATGATAGGATGAGGAGAATGATAACTCTATACCCAATTGTTTGCTGAAAGAGCTCCAAAACCTAGATCCAAATTGAGAACACCTGTCAAACACAATATTCAGTGGCATACCATGTTACCTGAATATCTCCTTTATGAATATGTGTACGAGTTCTTGGGCGGTAGGCAGCTTCTTAAGTGGAATTAAATGCACCATCTTAGAGAAATGTTCAGTGAACATTAGTATGGTGTTAAAACCATTAGAGACTAGAAATTCGACAATAAAGTCCATATCTAGATGGGAACGTGAGGTATAGGAAGTGGTTGTAGCAAACCACATTGCTGTCTATGTGGAACTTTGGAAAACAGCACAAACAGATGGAGTGGAGAAACGGGGGGCAATAGACAAGTTGGAACTGTTAGAGCTATTTCTGGTTCTGTCATTATCTCTTAAACGGTTATCAATATGCATCATGTAAGTGATGTACTCATTAAGTTTTTCTTGTAATTCTTTAGCAGCAGTCTCATCAAGTACTGCATCAGACAGACCTTAGGAAAAGGCAGTGATTAAACTGCTGTTAGTCCAGTCGACCACTGAAGCAAGGGTATGAAATTCAATGGCATAATCTGCAACAGAACTATTGCCTTGTTTTAGACGCATTAATGCTTTAGCAGCAGTTTTCTCTTTACCCAATGTCTCAAATGACAGTTTAAATTCCACAAAGAATTGTTTATAGTCATAAGCTATAGTTTTATTGCTCTCCCATAGAGGATTGTCCCATGTTAGCTCCTTACCTGTCAATTGGTTCATTAGATAACCTTTTTTGGATCTATCAGAAGGGAATGATCGGGGAGAAGCCTCAAAGTGATATTCTATTTGATTATGAAATCCGCGATACTCCTGAGCATTGCCTCCAAAATGAGGAGGAGGTTGTAAGGATATCGAAGTAGCCTTATACACAATAGGAATACTCAGAACAGGAGGGGAAGGAACTGACGGTGGATCATCGGGCTGAAGATGAGATGTACGGGCTAGAAGCGTTTGGAAAGCTTCAGCAAATTGATCCATACGGTGATCACTTTCCTCCAGTCTCCTCACGCAAACAACATATGTTGACACAATTCTGCAGGGTCCATGTCCCTGTCATAATGTCACGATTACTGTGTGACCCAAGGTCCGGGATACAGAATGAGACAATACGAATAACTAGCCAAGGGTCAGGCTACCAGAAGAAGGGAAAGTCAAAAACAATAGCCAAAGTCAATAACCAGAAAAATATACAGAGAACGCGCTCTCTGACAGACAAAAAGGGGAAATCATGACAGGGCACTGAGAAAAAGCATTACAGGGTTTAAATATGCTTCTCAGTGCTGTGATTGGTTAGTACATGGCCTTCGACACCAAAACATGCGTGTGCTTCGATAACATGATAACGATAATGTGGGCATTGCGCCCTTTACTCTCTCACTTTCAGTTACTCATACCCTCACTCACTTTGACTCACACTCTCTCACTTTCACTCTCACTCACTTACCCACTCTCTCTCTCACTTTAAGTTACTCAGTCTCTCACTCACTTTCACTATTTCTCACTCACTTTCACTCTCACTCACTCTCTCACTTTCAATTACTCACTATAATTCACTCACTCTCACTCACCAACTTATTCACTCTCTCATATACTGACTCTCTCACTCACCTTCACTCTCTCTCACTTTCAGTTACTCACACTCTCACTCACTTTCATTATTTCTCACTCACTTTCATTATTTCTCACTCACTTTCACTCACTCTCACTCACTTACTCACTCTCTCACTTTCAGTTACTCACTATCATTATTCTCTCATATACTGACTCTCTCACTCACATTCACTCTCTCTCTCTCACAATCACCTTCTCTCTTTCCCTCTCACTCAGTCACTCACTCTCTCTCACACTCACTTTCACCCTCTCACTCTCACTCATTTTTAAAATAAGTTTACTTATGGTTTGGATTCCCCTACTGTGTCTCCAGTCTCCATTCTTCTGCCTGTAAGCCCGAGCAGACACTGTGTGAAAGAGATCTTTATCTCCCACACTGTCATCTCTGACTGCTGACAGACTCAGGGTTACTACAGGACACAGGAAGCGCATCCACAGTGCCTCCAGTGTCCTGATAGCATGTTTGATGTCTTCAGCTAAGTGTGAAGACGTCAAACGTGAGCCCTGCACATCAAGCAGGACTTGACTCAGAAGTCCCTCTGGTGGCCATCTGAGTGACTGCCACTGGAGGTGTTCCTAAGTTCTAATGTAAACACTGTATTTTCTCTGAAAATACAGTGTTTACATGAAAAGGCCTGCAGAAAGCTATTGTACTATCTTGAACAACCCCATTAAGCTGAAGTTGTTCAGGTGACTATAGTGTCCCTTTAACTGTAGTGTGTTGACACACAGAATCCACAAACAAAAAAGGACACAGGTATTAAAGCAATGGTCTGTCACATAGTGAATTAATTAGCTTCAAGAGGATTGTATCAAAGAATGATTAGGTGTAGAGTGTTTCTAGAGACACAACCTTTTATAGCAAAGGTCTGTCCTACCAATGTGATACAACAATATAAATTAATTTAAATTATAGGGAAATAAAATTAATATGTTTCAACTTTTTCTCCACTCAGGTACAGAAGGTTTTAAAATCAGTTATGCGATACAAAACACTGCAATTGGGTCTGGAATCTATTAAAGGACCACTCTAGGCACCCAGACCACTTCAGCTTAATGAAGTGGTCTGGGTGCCAGGTCCTTCTAGGGTTAACCCATTTTTTCATAATTATAGCAGTTTCAGAGAAACTGCTATAATTATGAATGGGTTAAGCCTTCCCCCTAATCCTCTAGTGGCTGTCTCATTGACAGCCACTAGAGGCGCTTTGCTTTCTCACTGTGATTTTCTTGCCGCGTGCTTATTCAGCGGCGGGCTAACGGGAGGCGGGAGAGGAGGAGAGCTCTCCGCCCAGCGCTGGAAAAAGGTAAGTTTTTACCCCTTTCCCCCTTCCAGAGCCGGGCGGGAGGGGGACCCTGAGGGTGGGGGCACCCTCAGGGCACTATAGTGCCAGGAAAATGAGTATGTTTTCCTGGCACTATAGTGGTCCTTTAAATACTGATGGAATATGTTACAAAGTGTCAGGAATCCCGACCACGTAACATAAAATACAGGGAATGCAATTTAATAGGATGGTGTATGTGATACAATGAAAAAGGCATAGATCTGGGGAAACTAATTAGTCAGGGATACAATATAAATGGGTTACTAGATCCTATGATATCAGTAATGGAACGTAATACAAGAGGGTGGTGATCCAGATCTTATTAATCAGATATATGATACAATAGAATGGGTTAAGGGTTAAAAACTAGTTTTGCCTATAATGAGAAATAATTTTCCTGATCTGGTCAAGTCTATTTTTTTTTTAAAATCAGGATTACATAAATTAATGGTGGTAATGCTTTCTCACAAGAACAATGCAAACCTGTTGGAATTCTTTTTTTATTTAAAAAAAATAGGCAAAAGTGAGAAGAAGATTTTCCAATTAATAATAAAAGAGTAGGACAGCTGCCTCCGTTATCTCCTTGCTGGCACTCCATCCTATGTGTGTCCCATACCCGTTCCAGTCATAGGCAGGAAAATCTCCACATTGAATGGGACTTCCTTCTGGGAAGAAGCCACCTCCTCCAATACAGTGCTGAAAGAAATAAGATGACAGACTGATAACATGCTCAGAGCTGGTCTGATGGGGAAAATGGCGTCTTTTGCTATCGATAGACATTATGCTCAATTTCATATCCCAGAGCAGTATTTTCCATCTTGGTTTGAGGAAATAGAAATGTCTTCTCAATTAACCACATAGCGGGAAAGTGCCCTAAGGTGATTCCTTCCATAAGCTGGCCCCTCACAGGAGTGCTGCTTTACCTTTACCAGATGGCAGCCCTGCATTCATAAGAAATACAAAGACAGAGAAGCACAAACACCTAGGGCTACTCTGTGATGTCCTCGATGTACAGTTGTGTGAAGCCTCTTGATTTTCTGCACCCATAGACAGGCAGCAGGTGCCAGTATACAACCATCAGTAATTCTGCCTGCAGGCGCACTTCTATCTTTGATTGAGGGGCAGCAGTAACACTATATAAATCAGGGAAACCTCATGTGAGAATTCCTGGTTTGGAATTTCATAAAACTAAGTAATTGATTGAATGAAATGTCTCCGACAGTAAACAATGTGTGAGAAGATCGCTGCAATATAGCAAACGATAACCATTAAACCGTCTATTCAATGATATAACAGGCTTTATTTATCCATTGCCAAAAATAAACATAAAACTGACAGTTGTATCTATATGCTAATTAGATATAGTGATCGAAAAAATCAAGCCAACAGGTGATATATTGTGTCTCTATACATTCCCTATTAGTATAATAAACATCCCTACAGAATCATTTCCTGATTTACAATGTCCAAATAATCTGGAACAATAGTTGAAAAAGGAGATGGGAGTTTAATTTAAAAAACAAACAAACAACAGTATTATAATGGGAGAGATCCCCTAAATTGTCAATTGGCTGTAATGGTAGTAAAGGGGGTTACTGGAGTAGAAAAATAGGGTAATAATAATAAGATAAGTATACAAAGCGAGATGATATTGGAAGATCTGGAGAGATAGAAGGAGGGATAAGGTAAGTAACTTTCAGACACAGCTTAGGTAAGTAAGATGGTAAGCTAAGGTAGCAATTGTCTGGAGTGCCTATTTCTATACATATATGCTGCTCTTTATCCTGCAAAAGGTCTAAAGTCTGGACAATTAGGATTGGTTGTAACCGGCCTTTGACCCGAAAGGCAGTTAGCAGGTTCCTATTTGATGCTGATTGCTGCTCAGCACAAACCCTCCTGTGGACTGATTGCTGCTTGGCACAACGTTTCCTGTCAGGACAGTAATGTTGCTCGGCAACAGAACAGTAAATGCCACTATTCACATTTTTATGTGCAGATGAATACGTGACACCGTCATACTTACCTATTATACTAATAGGGAATATATAGACACACAATATATCACCTGTTGGCTTGATTTTTACGATCACTATATCTAATTAGCATATAGATACAACTGTCAGTTTTATTTTTATTTTTGGCAATGGATAAATAAAGCCTGTTATATCATTCAATAGATGGTTAAATCTTTTGCTATACTGCAGCAATCTTCTCACACATTGTTTACTGTTGAAGACATTTCATTCAATCAATTACTTTGTTTTATGAAATTTCAAACCAGGGATTCTCACATGAGATTTCCCTGATTTCAATCTTTACAATAAGGGTTAATCCTTGGGTGGAATTGGTACCACCCCCACTGACTAACCCCCGTCCAGGATATTTTCGGTATAGGAGTGATTTAGTCTATTAATTTTGTAGCAGTAACACTATGCCTGGCTTACAGAGATTGAAATGTGAGAGCCCCTCAAAAGCAGTTCTTACATCTAAGAGGGGCTGTGACAACTACCCAAGTTCTGACCTGCACTATTTGTGCCTGTGACAGCTTCAAACACACATTCTTGTGTAAATGCTTTACAAGAAGAAGAGATTGGCGATACGTACATGTTCCGTGTTGCATCCTGTCACCTTCATTCCTGGGCACAGAGCCATTGGTGCTCTTTCATTGTTAAAAACGCGAAACTGGACAAAGCCGGCAGTGAACTCCTCTGCAGAATGGGACACATGAATGACATTGTATAAGCAGGCTTGCTAGCTGTGATTTAATGTCTAAATCTCTCTCTCTCTCCCTCTCTCTCTCTCTATATATATATATATATATATCTACTTACTTCTTCCGTATGGAGAGTAGTAATTGGCTGTCTTTTCAGCATTTCCGTAGTCGTACACAATTGGCACAGCAGGTCCATTGTTGACCGGGCATGCCCCAGTATTATACTTCATTGGATATTTCTAAGCACAGAGAGAGAAAATGGCAGCTAATTAGAATATTAAACAACTCTAGATAAAAGTTATTCACTTCAAAAGTTACATGTAGGCTGAAGAAAGACCACTGGGTTTCATCCTATTACACTTTCCTGTTTGAGAGAAGTCACACTCAAAACTATTTTCAAATGTGCTCTAGATATGGAAAAATATATTTTTTGAGTTCATAGTTGCTAAAAGGATTCTCCTTGGATCAACAAACTGTTAAAAGAACACTATAGTATTAGGAATACAAACCTGCCCCTATCTAGTTTTGTGCACTATAAAATATAATAAAATGTGTTTAATTAAAAATTAAGACTCCCTCAGTGCTGCTGGCCTTTCTACCCCCTGCCATGTCATCGAGAAGGCATGGTTTCCTCTGGCAATGGTCCAATCCATAGAGCAGAATGGGGACATAATGCAAATGTGCGTTGAGTGCCGTGTGCGCTTCAAATGCTTTTCATTCCTATACGGCCTAAAAAGGGCTATTATCACTATGGAAAGGACATGGACTAAAACAAAATATTTTCACTATGAAAAGGGGTTATGGAGACCCCGTGGATGCTTACTCTGCCACTCAGCCGGAATTGGGGTTCTCTGGGCATTGCCTGGATCTGTCCTATGCATCAAGCTCCTGACCATGAAATGCCCTGAAATGTAATAGCCAATTTCAAGCAGATAAGTGTACCCAGCAGCAGCTGTGGGTCCAGATCCCTTGCAGTAGGGGAAAAGTGCTCCTCCTGATCACTGTAAAGTGTTTAAGCTGGAGAATGTTAGACCACGAGATACTCTTAAATCTGACCCATTTTGTCCTGTAGCTAGTACTACCTTGTAGCTAGTACTTAAAAGCATCTTGTGGCCTTACATTCTCCAGTTTGGACACTTTACTCTAACCAGGAGGAGGTATTTTCCCCTACAGCAAGGGATCCATACCCAGAGCAAACAGATCGACTGACTACTGGATACACTGTTTGGACACTTATGTGCTTTATTTAAAGGTCATTTAGACCTATCTATGTGCCCTTCTGGCCATTTGTACTGGCCTTGTGTTTGTAAGTGCAGTATATTCTTTTATATTGTATTTGCTGTATGTGATTTTACACTATGTTATATTTGTATGCATTTTAAGTTACATAGTTACATAGCTGAAAAGAGACTTGCGTCCACCAAGTTCAGCCTTCCTCACATATGTTTTTGCTGTTGATCCAAAAGAAGGCAAAAAACCTAGACTGAAGCGCTTCCAATTTTGCAACAAACTAGGAAAAAGTTCCTTCTTGACCTCAAAATAGCAGTCAGATGTCTCCTTGGATCAAGCAGCTATTACCTCACTTATTAGAAATGATATCCCTGTATGTTATGTTTTTGCAAGTATTTATCCAATTTCAGTTAAAACATCTGTATAGACTCTGACAAAACCACCTCTTCAGGCAGAACATTCCACATCCTTATTGGTCTTACTGTAAAAAAAACTTTTCTTTGCCTTAGATGAAATCTCCTTTCTTCCAGCCTAAATGTGTGACCTCATGTCCTATGTATAGCCCTGTTTATGAATAGATTTCCAGATAAAGGTTTATACTGGCCCCGTATATATTTGTATAATGTTATCATATCCCCTCCCAGGCGCCTTTTTCCATACTAAACAGATTTAAATTTTTTAACCTTTCTTCATGACTAAAATGCTCCATTCCTCTTATCAATTTTGTAGCTCGTCTCTGCACTTTTTCTAGTGCCATGATATCTTTCGTTAGAACAGATGCCCAAAATTGCAAAGCATATTCAAGGTGTGGTCTTACCAGCAATTTATAAAGAGGCAAAATTATATTTTCATCCATGGAATTTATGCCCCTATTTATACATGACAAAACCGTACTGGCCTTAGCAACTGCAGATTGACATTGCATATTGCTGCCTAATTTGTTGTCTATAACAATTCCCAAATCCTTCTTGTGTGTGATTATCCCTAGTTCACTACCATTTAGGGTGTAAATTGCTTGTGCATTCTTAACCCCGAAGTGCATAACTTTGCATTTCTCTACGTTAAATTTCATCTGCCATTTTAGTGCCCAGTCCCCCAATCTATCCAAATCCCTCTGCAGCAAAGCAATATCCTGCTCACATTGTATTACTTTACAAAGTTTTGTGTCATCTGCAAACACTGATACATGGCTTTCAATGCCTATTTCAAGATCATTTATAAATATGTTAAATAGAAGCGGTCCCAAAACAAAACCCTGAGGGACACCACTTACCACTTTTGTCCAGCTTGAAAATTTACCATTTGTTGTACTCTATCCTTAAGCCAATATTCTAGAACAAGAATATTCATCTAGACCAACTTCTTTTAGTTTGAAGACTAACCTATTGTGAGGAACCATATCAAATGCCTTGGCAAAATCCAAGTAGACCACATCCACTGGAACACCATGATCTATACTTCTGATTAAAGATTGAGAAGATTTGTTACTTCACATTTAGATCCTTGTGATGCTACATGCTGATTGTGCTATGGATCCACAGTAGAATATACCATTTTTTTCCCTCCATATCACAATATCACTATTGTTTTTAAATGAATAATAATACTAATCTAAGATTGAGATATTTCGTTACACCACACCATTTTGCTTTTGGTATTTTAAGGAGATAAGGTTGGGATAATTGTCAGCTATTTACGCAAAAAAACAGGGTTATTTAGTAAAGTGGAAATTACCTAGAATTCAAAGTGAATTTTCAAATTTAGACCAAAATTGCTGAAATAGAAGCATAACTGACTAGGAGATTTTTTTTTCCAGTTCACTTTAAATTCAGTTTGAATTCCTGACAATTCTCATATTATTAAATAGCCCTGTAAAAAGTCTGTGCCTTTTGTGAAATTGCATCTCTTAATTCCTCAAGCAGATAATATATTAATCTGACATATAGTTGTTGTCTTTAAAAGCTCAATATAATATTGAGCTCTTCATACATAGACATGATGTAAACATGGCTCATATCCCTAATGCATTTCAGAGAAATACTGTACCTTGTACAGGTTGAAAAGGTTTCCTCCTTCTGTGGAGAGGAAGCCATTATCTGTACGATATCTCAGCAGAGCTGCGTCCTTCCATTGAGAAAGTGGAGTCTGATTAGGCACATGCCACAAACCCAAATTCTTGGCAGAGATGTCATAATATCCTGGATTCTGGGAACATGAGTTGTTTCATTAAATCAGTGTACCTTTATTCAGCAACTAACTTGCACTATGACCTTTACAGATATAGGATAAAAAGTTACTGACTAATCTGAATTTCACACCTAAATATGTAAAGATAGAAAGCCCCGGAGACCCATGGATGTGAAAATATCCCATAGAATGCTGTATCTAAATCACCAAATATCAGTATTAAACCACAATTAGATTAAAATAACTCTATATGGTAATGTATACCAAGTTTACATAAACCTTATAACAGTGTTTCCAAAACATGTGTGCCAACAGTGCCCTGGGGCATGATCATCACACCCCCGGAAAACATTTCTTCTAAACAGGGGCCCGGTCGGGTATCGCAGCTCTTTAAGACCGCGTCTGGGCCCCTGTAGTGTCGGCCGTCTGGGAGGAAGTGACAGCCTGTATACAGTGAGACAGCACGGGAGGTAGCAGCCGCAGAAAGTAGCGGCAGCATAAGGGTAGGGGCAGCATGAGGGTAGATGCAGCATTAGGGAAGGGGCAGCATGAGGGAAGAGGACCACTAAGAGGTGCTTCAGATCCCTCACTCCCACCAGCCAGCAGCAGATCCAGGACTCCAATCAAGCCACCCTCCTGGACACACCAGGTAAGCTAACAGGAGGTTGGCTGTAGATATAAAAAATATCACACGTATGTGTTTATGTGTATGTCAGATCTATACTATACTATATTAAAACTGTGTATTCTAACTGTGTGTCTGTGTCTGGCGTGTGTATGTCAGGCGTGCATTCCCTCCAATGGCCATTGGAGTAACTAAATGACCTCCATTTGTTTAAATATACATAGGGATTTAGGAGAGAGCGCAGGTAACTTTTTCTTTGGTTTTTACTGTATGTATTGGGACTGATGTGTACTGTGGCTGTTGCTGCCGTCCAGGAGTGATGGGAGTGAGCACAGGACTTGTTTTTTGTGGTGTGTGTATGTGTCAGTGTGCTTTTTTGTGTGTATATGTCAATGTGTGTATCTGTGTGTCAGCGTGTGTCTGCGTGTGCGCACACATCTGTGTGTCAGGATGTACATCTGTATATATGACAAAACAACAGGTGATTTTGTCACATTTCTGTATCTTACACAAGGTTTGGGAATCCTTGTAGATTTACTGCTGCTTGTTCACATTATAGCGAGCGCCTACACCTGCCTTTTTTCTGTACATCTGTATATGTGTATGTGCATCTGTAAGTCAGTGTGTGTTTTTATGTCTGTGTGTGTACCTGTGTCATGATGTGTGCATGTGTCAGTGTTTGTGTGTGTCAGAGTGTGCGTTTGTGTGTGTGTATATGTCGGGGTATGCTTGTGTTAAGGTTTGTGTGTATGTGTCGGTTTATGCATCTATGTGTGGAAACTCGGGATTAGATAGAACCCTATATCAGTATACTCAGTAACACTAAGGTAAAGATAAGAATCCTAGATGGGCTCACATTTTTCCACCTTCCTCTCATTATAGATGACCCGCAAATAGTTATTGCAGAAATTGGAATTAGTGCTGGTTGTTCATTTACATATTTTTTTTTTTTATATCTCATATTTTTTTATATCATAGTAATAATAGTACATTCTCTCTTTATATCCATTAGAATTTCCTGGTATTCCATAATTTTTATTTGTGAGTATTTTTGAATAAAAGTTACGTTTTCTTCTTAGAATTTTATTTTAGTCTTCTCTACTGAAGGCTGAAATCCCCCTTTTCTACACATTCATTAATCTTCTCCCATTCAGGTTTTTTTTTTTATAAGAACCCTATATAGATTTTATATATATATATATATATATAAAGTGTCTCAGAATTAAAACGACTCTCCGAGCACTAAAACAATTTTAGCTCTATTTTTTTTTTTTTTTTTTTTTATAAATCGTGACCCAGCAGGCTCTCTGCTTAATTCTCTGTAATGTAAGAGTTAAATCACTATATTCATGCAGACCTAGCCACGCCTTCACTGGCTGTGATACACACTGCCTCCTTACACAGTTTCTGAAAAGGTCTAATTTGTAAACTTCCTTTGTTGTACATGGGGACATTTGTATTTCATGTACTGTTAATTGACAGATAGTGCCTGCAGCAGCCTGTTGTATGTGATTAAAGTTCAACTAACATAACAGGAGATACGAACTGCAATAGTGAAACCTTTTTTATGGAGGCTGTGTGAGTCACAACCAAGGGAGGTGTGATATATTTATATACACAAAGTTCTTAAGCAAAGACACTGCAGTGCTGATCTATACTATACTATATTAAAACTGTGTACTCTAACTTCAAACCTCAAGATGACAAAATCACGCTTAAACCATTGTTGCTAAACCCCTATAAAACCGATCACAAAAACATTCATGTAATGATTAGTACCTTGTAGTCATCGCTGGTTGCTCCAACGGCATCCCCAAATATGGCAAAGTTTGCCCAGTTGGCATCTCCCTCAGGGTAGTAAATGGAATTTCCCTGCTGACTGGACCAGCGATCTCCCACTGTGCACTTCCCATACATATTGTTTTCGTGGATACTGGCCACCAATGTCCACCCTCCTCCATTTGTGGTCATGTCACAGAAGGTCTGGTACTGCACTCCATCTTTGGTTGTCAGGGTATAAATTCCATCTGTGATAATAACAAGATAAAAATATATTTTATCTGGTAAACAGAGGTCGCTATAATGTAATGACCATGAGCTCATATTGAATAGCATCGAGCAAAAACAGAAGAAGAAACAAAAATAAATTTGACAGAATAATTCCTAACTTTCAACTTATCAACCAGACAATAGTGTAAAATGAATCACAGCTGTCTGAAAAAATAAATTTTCATTGCAATATTCTCATGCTTTAGGTATTGCAGACTGACATCACATGGCTTATTTTTACTGAATAAATTGGCTCCAATTACTTATTTTAGTTTAAGACAATACTAGGAGTCTTGTAGTTAAATGGTCCACCACAAGACCAAGGGGTTTGAGTCCTAAAGAAATACTTGAAATCAAAAACAATAAAAAAAAACATAACTAAAGGGATACTAAAGGGACACCATAGTCACCCAGACCACATCAAGTGGTCACAATCCCATGTAGTCTTGCAATGTAAATCCTCGCAGTTTTTGAGAAACTGCAATACTTACATTGCAGGACTAAGATTGTCTCTAGTGGCTGTCAATTGGACAGCCACTACCGGCACTTCCTGGTGGCTAACTGACTTTTGGTCGTCTAACTGATGCTGGACGTCATCATGCTCTGCGTGAGGACATCCAGCCTCAGTAAAATCCCCAGAGGAAAGCACAGAAGCAATGCTTTCCTACGGGCCAGGCCTAATGCGCTTGCAGTGCTTGTCGCACATGCACATTAGTCACCCCCATCGTATGATGTTGGAGGAAGCCGAGCGCAGACTCAGAGCCAAGGGACATCAGTGTTGGAATTGGGTAAGTGACTACATTTTTTTTAAAAACCTTTAGCTGTTAGGAGGAGGACGCTAGGGAGGGTGGGACCAGAGGGTTCTACAGTGTAAGAAATACAAATTTGTATTCTTTACACTATAAAATCCCTTTAACCCCTTAAGGATACATGACATGTCTGACATGTCATGATTCCCTTTTATTCCAGAAGTTTGGTCCTTAAGGGGTTAACTATAGGCACCCAGACCACTTTAGCTAATGACGTGGTCTGGGTGCCAGGTCCATCTAGGGTTAACCCTGCCTGCTGTAAACATAGCAGTTTCAGAGAAACTGCTATGTTTACATTAGGGTTAATCCAGCCTCTAGTGGCTGTCTCACTGTGATTTTCATAGTGAGAAGACGCCAGCGTCCATAGGAAAGCATTGAGAATGCTTTCCTATGGACTGACTGAATGCGCGCGCGGCTCAGCAAATTCAGCAAATGACGTCGGAGGAGGGAGGAGAGTCCCCAGCGCCGAGGGAGCCCGGCGCTGGAGAAAGGTAAGTTTTTATCCCCTTCCTCCCCCTAGAGCCTGGTGGGAGGAGGACCCTGAGGATGGGGGGGACCTAAACTATAGTTTGCTTTCCTGGCACTATAGAGGTCCTTTAAGTATTTAGAAAAAACATTTGATATTAAGCACAAATACATTCGGAGAGCAGTGAGACCACTACTGGTGACAGTGACTATTGCAACCTGCAGGAGGGAGAATTTTGCTTAATGGAATAAGTGTGACTGAATTAGTAAATCTATGAATAAATATGTCTATATCTTGCACCATGATACATTCTTTCCTTTTTTTTTTTTTTACATTTAGATCTTTGATTCTTCTGAGGGCTAATTAATTACTTGTATTGTATCTACCTCAAGACAACTCTGTGTTAATCACCATCACAATTTCCACAGCCCCTATAGCCTGACTGCATGAACGCCGACTTGGCCATTGGATTCTCAGACTCACCTGTTACAAAACTATCAATTTTCTTGATGTCCTTGCAGCTCCTGTACCCCATGTCAAAGCTCCCAGTGGGGGAGTCATTGCCAGCATGACCGCTTGTAAATATCAGGGCCAGCACTAACAGGCTGTACTGCAACATCCTAGTCTAGAGTGAAACAAATGAAAAAAACATTCTTAAACAGAGCACAGAATTCCATGTTAATAAATAAAAGATTTTGATCCATTTTATACTAAACATATTGTGCAAATACTATGCATTCAGTTAAAATGATAAATGTACTAAATGTTTTTATCATAGGAATGACTGCAAATAGAATCCTACCCAATGCCACCCAATGCTTACACAGAGTCTGGTATTAAAGCAGAGTGTGAGGCCAATGCAACCCAATTCTTACACAGAGTATGGTGTTAATGCAGGCTCTTGACTCCTCTTTATAGTCGGATAAACTTCCTAAACCAGTTGATCAACATACCTTGGACATGTTTTTCTTCAATAACTTGGTTATATGGGAGTGGTGGCTTTTAGCACTTTTGAAACTCAATCAAACTTTCAATATTTACTGACTATATGGAAAAAGTATTCTTATCAATATGTTTAGAACTAGGTGTAATTTCTGTAAGGAATTCTTTTGAATAAAAAATAAAGAACCATTATTAATAGAGGAATACAAATAAGCATACTCACTTCTTAAATCAGTTTTGGCCACTCATTTTATGTGAAAGACAATTGTACCACGTATAAACAGCTAAAATGACACGTAGATCTATTATTTGATGTGACTCTACTCCCCGCATAACATAACTTATTCCTTTGTCTACTGTAACACTTGTTATGACTGTAGCGGAGGCATGGGGATATTTCCATATTAGGCACCATTTAAAACCCTCCAATTCCTATTAATTCCAAAACAAAGAAATTAGAAAGCTTGGTACCCTGGTGTGTGGTTGCCCTACTTAGGATACCAAATTATGGCGCTCTTAGTAGATAGCTTCCTAATTTGGTACACTTAGGTGGGATTGCCTATTTAAGCAAACCAAAATAGGGCACATTCCCCCCACCTACTATTATCTTGTAATACATACACACATACGTACATCCACAGACACACGCAAACACTGAGGAGCCGACCTGCGGCCTTTCCTCCATCACTTGCGTGACACATCCTGCTGGGGTGAACCAAAATGTGCCCCATGGTGCTCAAGTACAACTCCTGCCTGGGGTAGCTGTAGATGATGTATGTATTAGGCAGTATGTGTGTACAGATGTATGTATTAGGCGGTATGTGTGCATGGGTGTACGCATTAGGTAATATGTGTTTATGGGTGTATGTATTAGGCAGTATGTGTGTATGTATGCATGTATAAGTCAGTATGTGTGTATGGATGCATGCATGTATTAGACAGTATGTGTGTGTAGATGTATGTATTAGGCAGTATATTTTATATTTTATTTCTTGTCCTGATGAAAGCTCCATGTGGGGGCTGAAACGTTGACTTTTATATGGATTAAATAAAAGTTACATTTTATTTGAAAATTATCACAAAGACCTTGGAGTGCGGTCCTTTCTACTATATTTATATGATTTTGCCAGACCTGCACCGGGCATTAAGAATTTAACCAGGAGTGCAAGCTCTTGTTACTTGTGTTAGGCAGTATATGTGTATGAATTTATGTATTGTGCAGTATGTGTATATGGATGTGCAAATGCACAAATTAGGCAGCATGGTTATATGCATTAGGCAGCATGTGTGTGCGGGTATATGTATTAGGCACCATGTGTGTATGGGTTTATGTATTATCCAGTATGTGTGCATAGATGTATGTATGAGGCAGCAAAATCATGAACATAGAGACTGCAAGCTTTGGGAAAAAGAAACAGGATAAAGATGGTGATAAACACTAATGAGAGAGAATGTTAAGAGTAGGAATGCACACTGTGCAGCAAACGGACATCTGATCAGACCTAACTGGAAACCAAATGGCAAATTTAGCCCAAAATAGCTGATTTAGAAGAATTCAGCTTCTAAAGCTACAGCTATTGTTATTAAACTTTGCAATTTGGTTTTCAATTCACTGAAATTGGGAGTTTGGTGAATAAACCTTTGAGAGCATGTAGTTGTATTCATAAGAGAGTGGCAAAATGGATCTTTGCTTAGTGCGGCAGGAATCCTTGCCCGGCCCTGCCTGTGATCATACAATTAGATCAGGTCTGCATGCATTTGTTGCAGTTCATCTTTTATGTAATTATACCTCATTTCTTTTATCTGCTTTTCGGTCAATGATATATCAGGTATTCCTCAAAAGCAAAGGATTTGCTAATCATAGTCCTGAAGGCTTAAAACTTGTGACTCTTGTTCTCATATGATTCAAAATATTTTTCTGTGTAATAGTGAGTGGAGCAAAGTTAAATACAACTTTAAAACAATAAAAAATTGTATACAAACTCCTTGAATATGGGATGATTCTTCCAAAAAATAGTTGTAATATATAAGAGAAAAAAATAAGAAATGCAATTATAGTGCAGATGGTTTTAAACTAACAGTAATTAATTAATCAATTGTTGTTTGCTTAATAAGTCTTTTTTTGTAGACAGACAATTAGATATCCTCATTACATTAATTAGCTTAAAAAGCCAGAATACTAGAAAAGTATAACAATAATTTATTGTCTGCTACATGCAGAGTTAAAACCAATACATTGATTCTTCCCACGACTCTCCACGTCCATACACTGGATTTCGTATCAGACAGACATCACACATTCCTGCACATGACCTTTAGTTAGAACACCATCCTACACAACGAAACACACAACATACACTCATCGACAACTACTCTGGATTCATTCCAATCAAGGAACCGCATCCTTAGAGTACCTATGAACGCTACCATGCCCATGTAGCTCTAGCTCTACCTGGAAGCCCTTAGCTCCAGGATATACTGAGACGACAATATTTTGCAATCCACGCCTTAGAAAGTAAATACAATTGTACCCTGTCATTGGTTATGTATTGGAACAGGAAACATCCTTGAGTATGTACATATATATGTTATACTTCAAAATTGCTACCTTCACTGTTTGATTGATGTGGGCCTGCGAGCCCTACATTTATTGTACCCAATTGCTAATAAAAATCTGATTAACAAAAAAAACCAAAAAAACAATACATTGATACAGAAAAAATAATGATATAAAAAACAGAAGGTTATTAGCCCCTTACTGGATATGATGGTGAGTTAAACCAGCTTCCGCCGTTACTCACTAAAACAGCTTTTATAATTCAAAGTAGCGAGTGAGCTGCTATCTCTCCTGCGGCTCGGCTGGACTGTAGATGTATCGCTGTAGTCAGTGGTGCTGGAAATTCAGTCTAAAAAAAAACGCTCCGGACTCTGTCTAGTGCAAGCTCCTCCCCCTTGTATGACGGCTTCCTCAGTTTTAAGAGAGAAGACTCACATATGTTTCATACAGGAGACTCATTGGATTGAGGAGAACAACACAATTTGGAAATATAGTAAATACCCTATAACTACAGTAATTGTGCCTCACTAAAAAAGGATAAGAAATGTGGAGTGGCTATAATTTTTTCGAAGAATGTTAAATTCTTACGTCAATATCAAAAAATAAACAAGGACGGAAGGTTTATTATTTTAGTAGGACAAACAAATGGGCAAGATTATACGATGGTAAATATTTACTTACCTAACAAAACTCCGACTATAATCCTGGCAAAAATATTGGAAAAGGTAGAGACAGTTCGTAGGGGCACTTTGTTGGTTGCTGGAGATTTCAATTGCATACTGGACCCCACCATGGATAAATATAAAAGTCCCAATCAATCTATTGATAAAAAAAATAGTCAAACACGCGGTCACAATGAGGTGGATATGTAAAAAAATTGAGTTATTTGACTGTTGGAGATTATTCCACCCAGCAAAACGCAACTACACACATAGATCAATACCTCACGGCTCTGATGCAAGAATAGATACCATTTGGGGAGATATACACGTGGAAGGCAACAAAATCAATTATAATAAGAGATAATACTTGGTCAGACCATGATATGTTGATAGTCGATATAAAGGATCTATATCAAAGATCTCCCCCTCCATGGAGACTGAGCAACACACTATTAAAAGCTAAACAAAATATAGAGTATACTAATAACTTTTTTAAGGAAAATACATCAGAGGAGATAACTAATGAATGTGTCTGGAGTACTTTCAAAATGGTAATTAGAGGTTATTAAAATAAAATAGCAAGCCAAGAGCGAAGAAATAGAGACCACATTCTATCAGAGATTTACATCCAATTTTATAATCTTGTGGCCGAAAATAAGACACATTTTTCGATAGAAAGAGAAAAACAAATAAAAGCTCGCCGAGATAAGATAAATAAAAAAAATTCCGAAAGAATTTAATCCAATTTACATCCAATTTACGTCCAATTTATGTAATTCTACAGTTACCCCACACACAGTAGAATTATAGGATCACAACCTTACTTTACTGATCAGACATATATAATTAACCTTTTTGGTAACGTGTTTACCTGAGCTTTCCCCAGATTAGTGAGCACTTAGAGAACAAAGACACAAGCTGATTAAGTAAACATTTAATCAGACAAAAAGGATTCACAGTGCTGTGTACAAAAATATAGAAATAAATGACATACAGAAACACAGATAACAAATTGCAAATCAGTCCATAAAATAAAATAGGAGAAAACACAAGAAATCCCTACATATATTTACCCCTTGTATATAATTCTTGTGGGAGATTCAGATGTTACAGGTCTCCAAGTAGTTGTTGAAAAAAAAAAGAAATCTCCACTGTATAGTCCAACATTCTCATAATATAACTCAAACTCGATGTTTCTAAGTGGGCAGACCTCTGGGTAGAACAGAGTTTGGCCTGGCAGTTTATTGCCCACTCCATATTTTCTTAAACTATCTTGTCCTTTGAAGAACCCAAAGTCAGAGCACATGTACCAATACCTTTTATGATGCCATATGTCCAGCTCTGGTGATGGCTATCTGGCAGCTTCATGGCCTAGGCCTGGTGTAAGATCGAAGCCCACAATAAATGTAATCCCAACATGTACAAAAACAACTCAAAGCCTGGAACAAATGCTATCCC